GCCGCCCCGGCCCGGCATCCCGGCACCCCGGCCCCGCGGCATTTTTTCTCTTTATCATAAATATATAAATTATGCTAATTACGGGCATTGCATATTAACCAAACCCGAAACCTCCCCTGCCCGGCCCCCTCCCCCTCCGTGCAAACCCCTCCCCGCCCCGGACCCCGCTACTTACCGGAGCCCGAGCCCGAGCCGCCTTCGCCCCGGGTGCCCGGCGGCCACCGATTAGAAATTCATCTCACAGCTCGGGCCAGGGGGCCGGGGCCGGGGCCGGCCGGCCGCCGCCCGCAGACAAAGAAGCCAGTGCGGCTTGGCTGGGCTCGGCTTCGGGGGTCGGGGTCGGGGCCGGGGCCGGCCGGCCGGGGGAGCCCGGGAGAGAGGATGCGGCGCCTGGCCCTCGCTCCCGCCGGTCCCGGGGACAGGATGGAGAGTCATGTGCCGGCCACCCAGGTACCGGGGTGAGGGTCGAGGCGTGGGGAACGCGGGCCTTTCCGGAGCGGAGAGAAGAGTCTTGCAAGAGTTGGGGCTGACAAACGCGTTGAGGGATTCGGGTCGGCTGTGCTCCGAGCGTGTCTGACAGCGCCGGCTGTTCCGGTCGCCGCGGCTCCTCCGCCGACCGGCCGGCGCGGATCCAGGTGCTGCGGACGCCGCCGGCTGCCGCTCGGGAGCTTGTTGGGAGCTTCCCTCTGGAGCCGAGGGGGCTCCTCCTCGCCTCTTTGGTAGCTAGCTCCATGCTCTCCTTTATGCTTTCTCACAGTGTGTGTGAGAGGGGACATGGCTGGCTGTGGTGACCAGAACATTGGCAGAGGGAGAATGAAGCCCCTTCGGGCGGTGGGGAAGGAGCGGCGTAAGGTGTTTCTGTGGCCGGGACGTCCAGATGGCTTAGAGTCCGCCCCGCACAGAACTACCGGGCAAGGCCTCCTCGCTGGGGTGTTCCAACTCCAGCACCACGGTGGGCATTTACTGTCCACTCTGGCGCGGGACGGCTTTACCCCATTGACCCCATGGCGTTGCATGCATGCTCGGCTGCGCTGCGGGTTTGTCCCTTTCCTAACCTGCTGCATGCTGTCGCCGTGGGTTGCCTCTCAGCCGCCCTCCTCCTCTCCCTCTCCCTGGAGCGACCACAATTCTAGCTCTGGGGAGCTGGTCGGTTCAGGCAGGCATGGGCAGGGTATTCACAAACCAGTTCTCCTTGAAGGTGAAAGGGCCAGAGTGAGTTCCAAATACGTGTCTTGGTGTCGGGTGCTGGACCAACCTCCTGGCCAATTCAGAAGAGGAAAGGTTTAGAGAGGGAAAAGTTAATATGGATCTTAGATTTGTCCCTTGGAGACACTGATGTAAACCAGCAGGTACAGGCTTGGGGGAGGGGCATAGCAAGGGAGTGAAAATTAGTCTGAATAACTGTGCCCTGAGTGGAGGATTCCAAAGAAGATCAAACAAAAATTCAGTGCCACTCTTCAGCCCGGTCCTTAAGTTCCACGGAGGAGAGTGCCTGCTCTTCACCAGGAATACAGCATTGAGGGAACTGGCTTAGGTTTTGTTTCTCCACAAGGGTCTCTGATTGCCCTGAGTGCATCTTTCTTTTGCCCTCCTAGGAGCCCTGAGTTTATTTGTGATCCCTTTCTCCTTTTATGTCTCTGCCACCCCACTTATACTTTGAGTCAAATAAGATTTTTGCTTGGCCAAGGTCCCCATTTCTTCTCATCTATTATTCATCCTGCTGTCATTTGTTCAACTCTACCGCCCACCCCCCCATAGCACCTCCAGCCATATCATTGTCCTTCCGCACATCTGTGATTCACCTGTGTCAGGGCATCAGCTCTATTTGTCTCATTAGATCTAGAGTCCACTCCATCTTCATTTCCTCTCTCATCGCCTGAGGCTTCTGGCTCTTTGTGGGTCTTGGGGTTTCTCAGAGAAGTTATATTTTGAGTTTAGCATTGGATAGAGCCTGAACCCACCCAGAAGCTAACCTCGGGTCACACTCACCCCAAAACTTCATGTCTCTTCAGTCCTCATAGCCCCTCTAACTAATTCTTTTTTTTTTTTTTTTTAAAGATTTTATTTATTTTTTTGACAGAGAGAGACATAGCGAGAGCAGGAACACAAGCAGGGGGAGTGGGAGAGGGAGAAGCAGGCTTCCCGCAGAGCAGGGAGCCCGATGTGGGACTCGATTCCAGGACCCTGGGATCATGACCTGAGCCTAAGGCAGACGCTTAACGACTGAGCCACCCAGGCGCCCAGCCCCTCTAACCAATTCTACCGCTCCTCTATCTTTGGACAACAGTGCCCTCAAAGTGTCGTCCCCAAACCAGTACTTTAGTATCCTCTGGGAACATGTTAGAAATGCAAATTTCTGGGCTCCACCCCAGATCTACTGAATCAGAAACCCTGGGGCAGGGGGGCGGGGGGGGGTGCGGGGAGCAGGGCCCAGTGGTCTGTGTTTTAATAGCCTTCCAGGTCATTGTAATTCATGCAAGTTTGAGAATCCCTGATCCTGAACTGTAGAGTTTAACCCTGAGAGCACTCCAACAGAGTGTCTTCTCCAATCCCATTTTTATTCTTTCCTTGCGTTTTTCTCCAGCTCTAAGAAAGACAGTAATTTGCTGGCAAAAAAAAAGAAACAGGAAAAAAGAATTATGGTCAAGTCCTTCAGTATTTCTTTACTGAATACCTATTTTACCGGGCTTGGAAAAGACAAACTTGAGTAAGACACAGCCCTTGTCCTCAATGGGTTAACAATGGAGCAAGCAGAGAGACACATAAACAACTAAATGTAATACAATGTGATGGGGGCAATAATAGCAGCTATCGGAAGTGCTGTGGGAGCGCAGAGGAGGGAACAGTCAACTCTCTCTGAGGGAGGTAAAGAATTAATCAGGAGCAGGATGTGGCCAGAGGAGGAATTAGGGTACAAGACAGGCTCTAGCTGGGGGATAAGATTTCTAGCCTGCATGTCAGCTAAAACAGGAGGAAAGGGGAAGTGGGGCACCTGCCCTTGAGGATCCCCCCGCCAAGGCTGAACAGAGTCTGCATCCAGCAGCACGCGGGTGGAGAATGGAGCAGGACCCCCAGGCTTGCAGCTGGTGGAAGTTGGCTTTATTCTAGCGTGAAAATGTAAGCTACTTGGGCCTGGCCTCGAGGTCAGTGGCTAAGAATAAGGTGCCGGTGAAACTGTAATCTGGATTAGCGGCTGTGCCGTCCTATTGCCAGAGTTTGGGAATCCACGGGGAGAATAAGGTTGAGGATTCTCCAGCGTACAGAGAGACATGAGGCTGCTGGACAGGCAGACTAAAGAAATGTGAGTATGGAGACCCAGATCATAAGTGAGGAATGATATACTCAGTGAAGGAACCCAGAGCAGGATCTATGTAAAGAAACTCCATAGAGAACTATAGGAATCTAGAGATGGCAGCAGGAACAGAGAACACAGAGTATCGTCCAAAAGGCCAGGGACTGCAGAGCCCAAATGCTTGTAAACCAAAACTCAGGGGCCCTCAGAACCATGGCACTGAACACCACCAGAGAGCACCGTTCACATGCAAGCCCATGGGAACAAACTCCTTGGAGTCCCAACATGTGGCCCTATAGAGATCCATGATCTAAGGACACCAGTGCCATCTTGGTTCCTTATCTATATGATGGCATCCCTGGGAACTCTGGACAAAAAGCATGTGTGTCAAAATTTGATTTGGCCAAAGGAGCATTTAAGTGGCTGCATTTTTATTTGGGAGGAGGGGAGATTCCAACTCCATACTTTCTCCCCCAAATTATAGGATTCCATGGAGACGTTCTAACAGCCAGACCTCACTGGGAGGTCTGGATCCCAGGCCTGGGTCCCAGTAGGGGAGGACCAGGTTGGATCACTGAAAGGAAGCCAGAATAATACATGTTTAGGTGTTTTGGCGTTTATGGGGTCCCAAGGACACACAGTGGTTTGGAGACAGAGTAAGACAGTCTGCCTCTTTAAGTGTCTGCTCTTTGTGGAGTACTAAGATATAAAGGAGGATTTGAAAACCTCAGAGGTCTTCAGGGCCCCGGCAGTTAACAAAAATACGTGACATGGCTGGGAAGGAGACAAAAGGGAATGGTGGGGTCTGTGGAGAACTGGAAAGTGCAGGCCCACCCAAGGGAATCCAAAATCAGTTGGGTTTTTTTGTTTGTTTTTGTTTTCTTTAGTTTTATTTGTTTAAGGAATCTCTATACTCAACGTGGGGCTTGAACTCATGACCCCGAGATCAAGAGTCACACACTCTTCTGACTGAGCCAGCCAAGCACCCCCAAAATCAGTTATTTTTAAGCAGTCTATTGGCCATAGGCCTGGGGGCTGGCTTTAGTAGGTCTGCGACTCCTAATGAAAGGAAAAGGAGTTATGGAAACAGAAGGCTTGAGGGTACCATATGTAGGAGTTTTTGTGAGGAGGTCTATGTAGAGAGAGTGTGAGTTCTGGAAATGTCAACCCCAGAGCTAAGTGCGAGAGAGCATGGCTACTGGTGAGGAAGCCTGGATCTGTAGGGCTGAGAGAAACGGGATTGGTACCGGTCCTGGGGCTTGGGCTGCTTCCCTGTTCAGTGCCTGCCAGTATTAGGTGACTCTAGCTCAGGTCACACCTTGCCCACAGCACTCTTTGCTCAGGGTGACTCAATTCCGCCCTAGAATTTATTTTTATATAAATATTTACAGAGCAAATACAAAGAATCTGTTGGGGATTAAGAGAAATGATGGATTTTAAAGGAGAAAGTGTCCCAGGCTAGTGGAAATTAAGCTCTCTTTCCTTTTACAGGGAATGCAAAACCCAGGCTAGGAACCTTAGACCTTAGCTCCCTCACACCTCATTAATGCTACTCCCAGGGAAATCCCTGTGCCTGATTTCTCTTTGAGAGAAAGGGGGAGGTGCAAACAATCCTGGCTTCCTGTGGGTCAAGTTCAGGTTCAGCTTCACGGAACCAATTAATGACAGAAGCCAAGTTCTGCTTTTGTGTGCCCAGGGGAATACACCTCCCTACCCACCCACAACTCACCACCCATCCCTTCTTCTTTCCCTGAACCACACGCGAGTTTCTCTTGTCTACCTTTCCAGAACCAGAGACTGCCAAGATCATAGCCTCCACCCTAGGAAGTAGTGCTAAGGGTTAAAATGTTTTTGTGTTTGAGAGGTACCAGGAAAACGAGAAATGCAGAATTGGGGTTCTAATAAAGTTGCAGACCCAGCACCCTCCGTTCCCTTGAATGGCTGTTGAATGCTGAATTACACAAGAAATTAGTAGAGGGTTTTTTTAATCCCTAGCAGCTCATCTGAAGCTCATCTGTTAGTTTTGAGAAGGACAGAGTTTGCATAACGTAGAGTCCTGAGTAGTGCTGGCAAGCATATGTGGTCCTAATTTCCCTAGCCTGGACCCTAGAAGGGAGCCACGGCTGCTGCTCTCTCCCAGGGAGCTCTGAAGGGCTCCAGGATTTTCGAGGAACATGTAAATGCTGTGATTAAGAGCTTGTTCCCCAAAGTCAGAAAGAACCTCTTTAAAACCCAGCTCTGCTCCTTCTAGCCACGTGACCTTGAACCATGACTTAACTTTCATGGTGTGGCTTCCTCCTCTATGAATGGGGATGACAATGAACCCTTGCCCCATAGGGGTTGTGATGAGGTGATGCACGTACATAGCAGGGCCACATATCACAGCTGACATTTATCCAGCACCTATTAGGTATTCCCTGTAGCAAACAAAAGGAAACAAAGGGGGAGAGAACCATACTGTGTCCTCCTCTGAACTCCTGGGCACTTTGTCTATACTCACCTAAGAGTACATCACAGGCTTCCTGGTGTATCATAAATGTATCTCAGCTGGAGAGCAGGATTAGGGTCTTTTCATCTCAAATCACCTACTGGGTATAGGAGGTTGTCTTGTGTGGAGTGGGAGCTCAGAACAGTTTGTGGAACCAGGAAATGAAAGCACTCCAGTTTATACTCATTATTGCCCACGGGGTCCCACATCTGCTTCCTGCGTTACTGTGGTTTGCGCACTGCCCTCCCGAGCCATGCTGTTAGCCATTGCCATTTTCAGCCCCCAGCTTTGCCCACTGTCCCTCCCTGGAGCCCTTCCTCTCTGCCACAACACTCTGAGACATTCCTGCCTTCCTGTCTCACTCCTTGTTCATCTCTTGGGTTCCTGTCCCTCTGCTTCCCCACCACGGCTTCCCCTCTCCCACTAGGGGCTGATCTCTGTTGACTGAGAAACCAACCACAGCCTTTGGCCCTCAGGAGAGCGAAGCAGATCTAAGGCAAGAGGAGAGAAGGACATGGTAAGTAGTGGGCTCAGTGGTCCTGAGATGCCCCTCACCAGCCACGTTCCCCCTTGCAGGAGGAGGAGGCCACCTACCACCATGAGCAGCACCCTGTCACCCACAGACTTCGACAGCTTGGAGATCCAGGGCCAGTACAGTGACATCAACAACCGCTGGGACCTGCCCGACTCGGACTGGGACAATGACAGCAGCTCAGCCCGCCTCTTTGAGAGGTCTCGAATTAAGGCCCTGGCAGGTGAGGTCAGGGGAGGGCCAGGGGAGATGCTGAGGAGGGAGAGAAGTTTGTCGGGGAGAGTCCTCCAACTTCGTGGGAAGACCAGCTTTCTTTCTAAGCTGCCAGCTAATCCAGATTACCCCATCCAGCTCCTGGTCCCCAACTGCAGTGCCAAGAACAAACTTCATACAATCCAGAATGTTCTCCAGCTTCCCTTCCCCCAAGCACAGGACTCAGCTCTGTTCCCCTCTGTCCCTGAGTCATGGTCCTTAACTCTTTTCCATTTAGTACTGCCATCTCCACCCATCTCTCCCGTACCTTTCATCCCCCTGTTGGGTCTTCCTTGGCTTTCTCTGTCACCTCTCACACCTGTTCTCCCTCCCAGTCCATTATCCTCCCCGCCCCCTCCCCACCTGTTCTTTCCACCTGCCGCCTGTTCCTCCCATTATTTCATCTACCTGTTCCCTGAAGCAGGTTCCCTCCACCCGCCGCTGGTTTCTGCACCACCCGTTCTCCCGGGTTTGCTCTCAACCCACCTCAGCCTCTGCCCTCCCCTACGGCCTGGGCTCTTCCCTCAGCTCTTCTGAGCACAAACAAACCCGTCTGACGGGCCTCCCTGTGTTCCGGGGAGGAGTTGTCATGGCAACAAGAGTGTAGCTGCCACCTGACACCACCAGCGGCTGGCGTGGGGCTGAGTCACCCACACACCCTAAGGCCACCCACCCCGTCTGGCTTCCCTCCTCCTCCATCCCACCCTTATCTCTTCCACTGACCTACTGGCCTCCCAGCCCCACGCAGTAGGAGAGGCCGCATCTACTCCCCCCAGCCCCCAACGTAGGCAGTGCCCCCAGCATGAGTGGGTGGCCTCCCGGAAGAAGGGAGACACTGAGGGGGTGGTTCCCAAACCGGGCAGCACTTTTTACAGGATCACCCAGGGACATTTTTACAAATACACATTCCCAAGCCCCCTCCTAGACACAGTGAATTAGGATCTTTGGACCTATGGTCCAGAAATCAGGATTTTTTTTTAAGATTTTATTTATTTATTTGAGAGAGAGAATGAGAGACAGCACGAGAGGGAAGAGGGTCAGAGGGAGAAGCAGACCCCCCGCCGAGCAGGGAGCCCGATGTGGGACTCGATCCCGGGACTCCAGGATCATGACCTGAGCTGAAGGCAGTCGCCCAACCAACTGAGCCACCCAGGCGCCCCCAGAAATCAGGATTTTTAAAAAGCTCTCCAGCTCATTCTTTTCAGGCAGCACAGCATCCGAGGACCCTTGTGTGGTGGCCTTAGCTCTGGGAACCCCTTATCATGTATTTTCTCTTTGCCCTTCTGGTTGAGTCTGCAGGCTGGCCTGTGAAATACTCATATCGGTGTTTCTATAGACGAGAGGACATAGAACGGTGGGTAGTGGACAATGTCACCTCTGTGCGGAGAAGTTTCCCTGGCACCCTGGCTTTGGATGCATGCTGCCTCCAGAACTGTCATGATGTCTGTACACATGCCACTCAGGACTGTCCCCGTGTTTGTGCACATGTGACACATGCCACCTTGAGCTGCCATTTCTCCACCCCCAGACTGGGCTCTCCTGGAGGCATGTCTGTGTGGGCTTAACCTAGCATGGCGCATGGCACCAGTAGGTGCCAGATAAATAATGAATGAAGACAGGAGAGAGGCAAGAGTAGGCTGTAAGGGACATGAGCTGAAGCCCAGAGAGAGGTGGGAAGAGAATCTGGCAGATGTGGCAGCAGCAGTGGGATGCACTGGGGCCCTGGGATGGCCTGGCTGAGGAGGGCCTAGGAGGGCCTGGTGAGCCCAGCGGCAGGAAAGGGGCCGGAACTGGAGGTGGTGACAAACAAGTGGGGGAAGATTGGAACACCAATTCACAGATAAGAGAACTTAAGCAAGCGCCTAGCAGAGTGCCGGGCACCTACTGAGCTGGTTTCTCCTCCTCAAGGATTTCTCTTTCTCTGCTCTCCAAGCTGGGGATCAAAGCTCAGGTCCTGAAGGGGGCACCTCCCACAGTCACCCCAAGAGGGGCCATCCTTGTCCCACCCGCAGACCTTCGGGAAGCAGGAGTTGGCTTTGGGGGCCCACGCTGAGCGGCTGGGGGCCCGGAGGGCCGATCAGCCGGGCATCGGCAGTTCCTGCTCGCCCCGCAGGGCCGGGCCAGCCGCCGCCGGCCGCGCTCCGCCTCCCGCCCCTCCCCCGGCACCGTCCGACCTGTTTGTCGGGAGCCGCCTCCGTCTGCTCTCGCCGCCGCCAGGTGTGCTCTGCCGACTGGCCCCCGAGCTCGGGCGCTCCGTTTCCCCCCCGCTCCGCGACACGTTCCCCGCCTCTGAACCGACTCCCCGCCGGGAGCGCAGGCGCTCGGGACCCCGGGCTCCGGGGGCGGCGGGGGGCGGACCCGTGGCGCCCGGCGCGGGCAGGGCATGGACGGCGGCCCCCGGGCCGCGTGAGAGGCTGCGGGCGGCATGAATGGGAACGGGGTGAGCCGGGCGCACGGGCCCGGCCTCAACGGCGCGGGCGACTTTTACTATGAGGCGGTGGAAGGGGCTCAGAGCCCGGGGGACCTCCTGCTGTCGCCAGCCGCCTTCATCAACCCCGCTCAGTACGCCAGCGTGCTGGAAGGCCGCTTCAAACAGCTTCAAGGTGAGCGGCCGACCAGAGGGGCCCCGGGGACGGAGGGGCCCCGGGCCGGAGGGGCTGGAGCGAAGCACGCCGAGGGGGACACGGTCCGTGCTCGGCCGTCTGTGCTCGGAGACAGTGTGCGCAGGGAGTCATTACAAGAGGCCGGGAAACACATGGGTGCCGACCCAGACGGGAAAGGCTCGGGCCCCCCCGGAAGAAGGGACAGTGAGCGTGTCAGCACACGGGGAGGCACGGAGGCGCGGAGCGTTTGGAGGTGAAGCACCTGCTAGGATAGCTGTTAGGAGAGAGGGCCGTCAGCCGGGAGGCCGAGCCACCCAGGGCTTGTCCCTGTCACCCTGGGTTTCTGAGTGGGCGTCTAAACGTGTGTGAGGAGCAGTGTGTGTGTGGAAACCAGGGAGTGTGTCGAAGGGAGTTGGTGCGGACAGGCTCAGATGCAGAGCAGGCGTGTGTTCATCCTGGCACCAGTATTTCCGTGTATTTCTGGGACCCACTGTGTTTTGGGGCAGGGGGATGTGTCTGTGGGTGTTGTGGACACCTTGTAAAGTCATGCTTTATTTCTGGTCCTTGGCTTTGCCCCGTCTTCTCCTAGCTGCCACCGATTCTGTCTTCCTCTCTTATTCCACCTGTGGGCCAAAATGGCCTCACCCCAGTGCGCCTGACATCAGGGCAGTCTTCACCGATCCAGTAAGGCCAATGCTCTGGGCAATCCCCAGCTCAGGCAGGGGGGCCTGGAGACCCTGAAAGGAGGTCCACAGAGCAGGGGTCTGCTGGTGCAGTTGTTACAACCCAGAGGTTGGCCTAGGTACAGGGGTTGGAGGTAAGAGAGACCGGAATAGACGTGGGTGTGTCGTTATGTTTTATGGGTGAGGTGCACAGGAATGTGAAATTCAGGGATGAGTCTTTTCGGTTTCTGAGATGCTGGTGCTGAGAAGGAAACAAAAGTGACTCTTCAGGGCCCAGCCACTTGGATTGGCTCCTTGCACTGGGCTTCTCTGGGGAAAACGGGCAGAAATCCGAACGGCCGGAGCAGCTTCCAATGGCCTGGGCCTCTTCCCTCACTTTGTCATTTATAACGTCTAAAATTTTAATTTTTCCGTGGAACCTAAAAAGCATGCGCTCATCAGCAGCCTCTCCTGTGGACCAGCCAGCAAGGCTTTTCTTCACTTTCTTTGAGATCTGTGCCTAACTCTGCCTGATATATCCCCACTGTGTTTCTGGGCTCAGTGTTTTCCCTATTCCCAACTTTCAAGATTGTTTTCCTTCTTAGCATTGGAATGCTAATGTCCCGGGACTGGATCCCATTGTAACCAATTGAATGAACCCACACCAGAAGAAGAGGAACCTGTCTTTTCTTTAAATTATCCCAGGAGAGGGGCACCTGGGTGGCTCAGTTGGTTAAGCAACTGCCTTCGGCTCAGGTCATGATCCTGGAGTCCCGGGATCGAGTCCCACATCGGGCTCCCTGCTCAGCAGGGAGTCTGCTTCTCCCTCTGACCCTCCTCCCTCTCATGCTCTCTGTCTCTCATTGTCTTTCTCGCAAATAAATAAATAAAATCTCAAAAAAAAAAAAATTATCCCAGGAGAGCAAGCTGACTCAGGAGGCTTAGACCCTCTATAATATCGTGTCCTTCTAATGACCACTTGGAAAAGCTGCTGGTTTAATTTAAGTCCACGCCCTGTCCGTCAGCAGAGAGAACAGCCACACCTCCTGCTGCTTCTGAGCAGCTCTTGGTCTTTCCTTCAGGTTAGATGGTGCCTGGATAACGGTAACTCACCAAAGAGTAACTCATCACGTGTGCCAGGCATCTTACGTACATTGTCTTGTTTCATCAACAGTCACGGGTTGAAGTAGAAAGTCAAGTAGTATGCCCGTTTTACAGATGAGGACAGTGAGGCTCTGGTGAAGTAACAGTGTCTCTCCACTGTTAAAGGACAGCCATGATCCCAGACCCCAACCCTTCCCCACACGTATCACTACTTCTAATTTCTTTTATTCTTTTTTTTTCAATGTTGTTTTGTCTTTTTTCTTTTTTACCTTATGAGCTCATTCCAATTTCTTTTTTTTTTTTTTAAAGATTTTATTTATTTGCGAGAGAGAGAATGAGAGACAGAGAGCATGAGAGGGAGGAGGGTCAGAGGGAGAAGCAGACTCCCTGCCGAGCAGGGAGCCCGATGCGGGACTTGATCCCGGGACTCCAGGATCATGACCTGAGCCGAAGGCAGTCGCTTAACCAACTGAGCCACCCAGGCGCCCCTCCAATTTCTTTATTCCCTGCTTTTTAAGTTAGGGATTTTCGTCTTAGGCATCTTCCTCCCCCCCCCCTCCTTCCCAGACCTCACTTCCGGGCTCTCAAGCACCCCCCAGCCCCCCAATCCCATCAACTGGTGTTTAGAAGCAGGTGCACTGTACTTGAAGGACAGAAATGACCCCATGTTGCCACCACAGATGAGCGAGAAGCCGTGCAGAAGAAAACCTTCACCAAGTGGGTGAACTCGCACCTGGCCCGGGTGACGTGCCGGGTGGGAGACCTGTACAGTGACCTCCGGGATGGACGTAACCTCCTGAGGCTCCTCGAGGTGCTCTCGGGAGAGACACTGGTGAGCTCTGGTTACAGAAGGAGGAGGGAACCCAAGAAACAGTGGTCAGGGGGACAAGCTGGGAGCTGCCCTTAGGAGAGTGACGGCACAGAGTGGGAAGCAGTTGGCTGCCCTCTCCTCAGAGGATGGTTTCATTTTGAGAGGCTTTGCTGCCTGGATTAAATAGGAGCATTGCTTCACGAAGACAGGAACAGTGGCCCCATTGAAAACACTTCTTTTCCCACCCACTCTGGGTGCAATTAATTCCCTTGGGAATCTTAATCTGCCCAAGCCTCCTCTGGAACCTCAGCTTTGGCTCTATGAACTTTGGCCCAGCCTTGAGGGCTGTGCCTGTGTTCCTGAGTGGGGTCACGGGGAAGGTGTGCAGAGCAGGGCCCTGAGAAGGCTAAGGGAAGGAGGAGGAGGCCCATGGTCCCATGTCATTTTGTCTCCTATCCCTCAACAGCCAAAGCCCACGAAAGGCCGAATGCGGATCCACTGTCTGGAGAACGTGGACAAGGCACTGCAGTTCCTGAAGGAGCAGAAAGTACACTTGGAAAACATGGGCTCCCATGACATTGTGGACGGAAACCACCGTCTGACCCTTGGGCTGGTCTGGACCATCATCCTTCGGTTCCAGGTAGCCTGGCAGAGCGTCATGCAGAGTGTCCTTCACACATCGGTGCTGTACCGTGAACGGGCACCGCTGGTCCACAGCATGACTGATAAAAACACAGAGGGTCTAGAACCTTGTATAGTGGTTTACGGTTGCTGTGACATCCAGGCAGCAGACCTGGAGACCCTCCTCCTTACACAGGGTAGAGACCAGTGGGGGTGTTGTCATACTTCTGTGGCAGGTTCCCTGTGGCCTGGTCTGTTTACTGGCCACATGTGGTAGGACCACACCTTGGGCCACAAGGGACTGGAGATTTTACAAACTGGACCGACCTTCACCCCTGGGAGTTTGAGAACTGCACTTGGGGCCTGATCATTGGTTCACCTCTGCCTCAAACTCTGCTTGCCTCCCTAAAACAGTCCCCCTACTGCTGCTTACGCTCTGAGCATAAGTAGCCCATTGTCCTCATGCCATCACAACTCTTCTGGTTGTCCCCTTACTCCCTGGGTGTAACCTGTCCTGCTTCTCTCAGCCCCGAGCAGAGCTCCGTCAGCACCCCCTTGGAAACCCAGCTCTCAGGCAATGCTCACCCGTCCCCTCGCGGCTCCCCACCTGGAGGAGCCAGCATCCTTCGCTTTGAGGCGCTTCCACTCTTCTGACTTCTGATCACATCCTGCTGCCTCAAATCCTTTTGAACCGATGTTTTGTGGTCCCTAGCCCAGGAGGAGAGGTCCCCCGGCTCTGTCCCGGCACCCCTCTTACAGGAGTCTCGAGCAGTTTCCTGCTGTGTCTCACGGAGTATCTCCAGTAACTCCAGGAGCCCCTGTTCAGGGAGTGAGGATCTTCCTTCTTTCCTTCTTAGATCCAAGACATCAGCGTGGAAACAGAAGACAACAAGGAGAAGAAGTCGGCCAAGGATGCCCTACTGCTGTGGTGCCAGATGAAGACTGCGGGGTGAGGCTGCCCGGGGGCCTTGGAGGGTTGGATGCACCGAGGCTGTGCGGTAGAGGAGGGATGGGCTCCCGGAACCACAAGCTGGGATCCACCCTTGAGTCACAGACCAGGGCTAGGCCCCACTCCCCGTTCTTCCCGGTCTCCGGTTACAGGTATCCCAATGTGAACGTGCACAACTTCACCACCAGCTGGAGGGACGGGCTGGCCTTCAACGCCATCGTGCACAAACACCGGTGAGGAGCCGCGGGCCGGGCTTGGGGCCCCGGCGCACAGGCGCCTAGACGGACCGTGGCCGGGCTCCACGGCAGTGATGGGGGGCGAACATTCAGAGAAGGGCCGGGATGTGGGGGCACCACGCTGCACAGAGGGCTGTGATGGGACCCAGGGTGGGTGGGAGCAGTGGGTGTGGGTTTGGGGTGCCTGGTTCGGGACAAAATGGAGTTGGTGACAGGGATAAAGACAGGGGTGGCTTTACTTTTCCTCTTTAGGAGCTCATGCGCTCCTGATACCTTCTACATTGCCTCCCCTCGCAGGCCGGATCTGCTGGATTTTGAGTCGCTGAGGAAGTGCAATGCACACTACAACCTGCAAAATGCGTTCAATCTGGCTGAGAAGGAGCTGGGGCTCACAAAGCTGCTGGATCCCGAAGGTGGGGCAGAGTGCTGTAAAGAAGATGCTGTGGGATAGAGACAGAGGCAGATGAGTGGGTGCCAGGGGCTGAGGGTGGGGGGCTGGGGGGAGGTGAACACTAATGGGCACAGAGTTTCCTTTGGGGGTGATGGAAGTGTTCTGGAGTCGATCGTGGTGAGGGCTGCACAACTTTGTGAATGTACCGAAAACCGCTGACTAGTCTCCTGTAAAAGGGTGAATTTTATGGTGTGAAAATTGTATCCCCCCCCACAAAAAAAGCCGTAGGAAGAGGGGCAGCCCTGTGGCAGAAAGAGCCCTCGAATGTGGTTCTAGGCCAGCCCCACCATGGAGCAGCTCTGTGACTTAGAGCCGGTCGCTTAGCCTCTCTGTGGCTCATTTTCCTCGTCTCTAAAATGAGAAGATTGGTCTCTGTGGTCTCTAAGGGCCCTTCTCACTCTAAAATTCTAGGGTTCTCGGGCGCCTGGGTGGCTCAGTTGGTTGGGCGACTGCCTTTGGCTCAGGTCATGATCCTGGAGTCCCTGGATCGAGTCCCGCGTCGGGCTCCCTGCTCGGCGGGGGGTCTGCTTCTCCCTCTGACCCTCCCCCCTCTCATGTGCTCTCTCTCATTCTCTCTCTCTCAAATAAATAAATAAAAATCTTTAAAAAAATAAATTAAATAAATAAATAAAATTCTAGGGTTCTAAATTAAGCTGCATGACCCCGAGATCTCACCCCACTCTGGCCTTACGGTCAGCGGGCCCTGCTTACTGACCCCTGTGGTTCTGATCTTAATGCTGGTGAGACTGGCAGGGGCCCCTGGGCTTTTATTTTGGACCTGGCCCTGCCCTCGATGTGCTTCACTCAACTCAAGCCTCACAACACCCCCTGGAAATCAAGGCCATTATTAATAGTCCTCAGTTTATGGAAGAGAAGATGGGGACCTATCCAAGGGTTAAGTGACTTTCCCGAGGTTGTACAGCGGGTGGAGCAGAGATCCAAACTCCAGACCTGTTTCCTCAGCCACTTCTCGGGGAGAGCAGTCTTGGTGCCGCCAGAAACGGGAGGCAGAGAAGGGCCAAGGGGCTTCCCTGCTGGAAACGCTCCATCCTAAGCTCACTGGGCAGACTTGGGTCTCGGTTATTTTCTCCCTGTTTGCCATCCCACCGTAGCCCCATCTCAGTCCAGAGTGACACACGTCAGCCACCTAGCGATGGAAGTCAGGCAAACATAGGTTCCTGGGAAAGCATTTGAGAGGCACAGTTATGATAAAGAACATTTTAAGTAAAGCGAAGTCTGTAACTTTATGAGAGGCACAGTTATGATAAAGAACATTTTAAGTAAAGCGAAGTCTGTAACTTTATGAATGACTTCAATGGGTCCTTCTTGCCTGTGGGCTTTCAGAGGGGGTCACAAGGGCTTCCAGCCCTATAGTCTTCCCTGTAAGTAGGATGGAATCTGCCAAATGTGGGCGTAGAACCCAGGCATTTCAAGTCCCAGCCTTGGTCTTTGTGGTAGAAGCTGATTTGCCTGAAGGACACTCACCTCCTTGGATTCGCAGCTGAACTTTGGGATTGAGGTCAGAAATAGCCATGACCATGCCCCAAGATGGCCCTGAGAACTGCTGGGGCTTGCTGGGCCTGTCCCTCTGAACATCCCCGCTTCGGGAAGCTTAGTTTGTATCTCCCATCTTGCTGCCCCTGAATCCACTGATTTCTTAGACATCTTTCCAGCCTCTAAGTACAAGATCCATCCCCAAACGGGAATACTGTTTCTTTTCTTGCCTTTCCTGCCCTCGACAGTAATTTTGGTCTCCATTGGAAATACTGGGTAAAAGCCTCCTCGGGCTTCTGCATTTTGTCCTCTGCTTGTTCCTAGGAGGGAAAAAAAAAGAAACTTTGCTTTTTCATGTCCTTTTAGTCCAAATGATTTATTTGTCATTTTGCCCTGAGAGGAGCTGGAAGGATGTCAGTTTCAGAGGGCTCGGTGTGGCGGAGGGGCGCTCTGGGATTGGGGTAAGCGATCCAAGTTGCAGGTGTTCTTCTGGGAGGCAGGTTTCTAATCTCTAAACATCAGTGCCTGACCTGAGTGGTCCTTTCTCTCAGATGTGAATGTGGACCAACCAGACGAGAAATCAATCATCACTTACGTGGCTACTTACTATCACTACTTCTCCAAGATGAAGGCCCTGGCTGTGGAAGGCAAAAGGATTGGCAAGGTACCCCCCACCCCGCACGAGGCGGTCGGAACAGAGGTCCTGCCTAGGAGTCTTCCTCCCCAAAAGCAGAGACGGGGGAGCTGCAGGGCTGGGCCAGGGACCCCGTAGGCAGGACCCCCTTGTCGCTGTCTCACAGGTATTGGACCATGCCATGGAGGCCGAGCGCCTGGTGGAGAAGTATGAGTCCCTGGCCTCAGAGCTGCTGCAGTGGATTGAGCAAACAATTGTCACCCTCAATGACCGGCAGCTGGCCAACTCCCTGAGTGGGGTCCAGAACCAGCTGCAGTCCTTCAATTCCTACCGCACCGTCGAGAAGCCACCCAAGTAGGTGCTCCTGGGCCGCCTTGCTGCAGCATGCCGGCCCTGAGCCATGCTCGTGGGAGAAGCAGCCTAAATCAGGGTGGCCTTTTGGGAGGGAAATTTGGCAGGACATAAATGCAGTGAAGGCTCATTTCCCCCAGCTCGAAGTGCCAGAAGCAATTCCAAGATAAATTTTTGAAATGATGATCCATTAAAAAAAAAAAAAGTCATGCTCGGGAGAGGCTTACTGTGGCAGGTAGAATCAGTGCGATCCGCTCAGATAAGATTACTGCCGGGTGTTTCGGAACCCACTCCCAGCTTAGGGACAGGGGGATTGGATCTGACGGGCAGGTCATCACCAGCAACACGGGAGTGTGGCTGGTGCCGTGCACATTGCAAAGGTTCTGACTGTTTACCTGTTTTAGAAATGGACTTTTTTTCAAGTGTGGGATCGCCAGTACGCAGCTCTGTACAGTACATGCTACAGCCTCGGTTTGTCTTTTACTGAGCTCTTTTGGAGTTAGCATGTTTCAGCTCCAAAACTAATACTAATCCAGAAAACATCTGCTCCTACACATCCCAAGAATGATTTGAGGTGCATGCCAAAGTGTAACTGGTCATTTCTCTCTGGTTTTCATTTGTTTTAAAATTATGTTCTTTTTGCTTGTCCATATTTTCTGGCTTTTGCACTGAGATCATGAGAAGAAAAGCACCACAGGCCACTTCGTTTTGAAACGTAGAGTCCCCGTGCCTGTGTGGCCTTTGACTCTGACCCCAACCCGGCCTCCTGCCTCAGGTTCACTGAGAAGGGGAACTTGGAAGTTCTGCTCTTCACCATCCAGAGCAAGCTGCGGGCCAACAATCAGAAGGTCTACACGCCCCGCGAGGGCCGGCTCATCTCTGACATCAACAAGGTCACAGCCTCCCTCCCCGCCCCACAGATGTCCCATCCTTGACACCAGCCCGCACTGCCCCGCGGCCCTCCGTGGTACCGACGACGTGACTCACACATGCTGTCGTGCGCCCCGAACATCCCCCTTCCTCCTCCCTCTGTCTCTCCTTGCAAGCGCGCATCATAAACTCAGACCCCAGTCGCTTATCTTGTTCGGCATGCCCCCGATTTACTCTCTCTGCTTTTATTTTCTCTTTTTCACAGATGACATTGTAAGATTAATATAAGTAATAGGGTTCACCCACGGTCCCACCACCACAGACAAATCCAGTGGTTTTCATTGTACCCTGTCCCGCTCCAGTCCTCATCCGTAAGCAGACGTGCTTTCGTGTCGCCCCGTGGCCCTCCTGCTGTCCGTTTCTCATGCTTCCGTGCACAGGTGTCTGACTGACCACATTCCGCAGACCCACTAGACCGAGCTTCCCTGGGCCTCATCGTGTGCCCCCCAGTCACAATGACCCCTCCCCACCCTCACTTCCTGAGCCCTGTCCCCCCACCTCGCAGGCTTGGGAGCGGCTGGAGAAAGCGGAGCACGAGCGCGAGCTGGCCCTGCGCACCGAGCTCATCCGCCAGGAGAAGCTGGAGCAGTTGGCCGCCCGCTTCGACCGCAAAGCCGCCATGCGGGAGACCTGGCTTGGCGAGAACCAGCGCCTCGTGTCCCAGGTAGGGCGGGGGGGCTCTTGGCCTGCGCGGGTGGGCAGGAGAAATGGGAGAGAGAGCGGTGTGTTACGAGCCCTGTAACATGGGGGAATCCATCGCACAGAGAAGACGACCAAGAGTCCCCCCCGAATCAGGGCCAGAGGCTTGAACAGGAGAAAGGGGACAGGATGGGACAGGATAGAGAGGAAACAGAGCCACCGTGTGGAGTTGCATCTTGCGGCGCAAGTGCCCCCGAGGGCACAAGGGGCGAGCGGGTGGAGCTGGGGTGCCTGAGCTCCCCCACCTCCCCCGCCTCCCCCGCCTGCCCTCCGCCGCAGGACAACTTCGGGCTGGAGCTGGCGGCCGTCGAGGCGGCCGTGCGGAAGCACGAGGCCATCGAGACGGACATCGTGGCCTACAGCGGCCGGGTGCAGGCCGTGGATGCCGTGGCCGCCGAGCTGGCGGCTGAGCGCTACCATGACATCAAGCGCATCGCGGCGCGGCAGGACAACGTGGCGCGCCTCTGGGACTTCCTGCGGCAGATGGTGGCCGCCCGGCGGGAGCGGCTCCTCCTCAACCTGGAGCTGCAGAAGGTGTTTCAGGACCTGCTCTACCTCATGGACTGGATGGAGGAGATGAAGGTAACAGCGGGACGCGGGGGCGCGGGGGTGGAGCAGGACTGTGGGAGTGCGACTGGGGGTCCATTCCCGTGGCGCATCTTGGTGGAGTAAGTCTCGGTGCCGGGCCCTGACCCCGATGCGGGCACACGGAGCAAACAGGGCCCTGCCCTCGCAGGTCTCGCGTTCTAGTGGGAGGAGGCTGAGGAGGAAACCCCTGGGCCCACATGAAGCAAAATAGCAGGCAGACATAGAACCTACAAGGAAACTGAACAGGGCCACGGGGTGAGGGGGTCCTGGCAGGCCTCTGAGGAAACGCAGACTAACACAAGGAGCCGGCGCGGGGGCTGTGAGCAGGGAATGTTGCAGGCAGAAGGGACAGCCCTGGGCCTGCACGGGCGTGCTATGTTTAGCATAGGAAGGAGGGCCAGGGGCACTGCAAGAACAGGAGGGGCCGTGGATGAGGTAAGGTGGAGCAGCCTGCTCCCACAGGGCCTGCCTGGCCTGCTCAGGGGTATGCGTCTTGTTCAGAGTAACACGAAGCTCTGAGCGCCATCAGAAGGTTTTGGAAAGGAGAGACGTGGTTCTGCCTTCATGTTTTCAAAGGTCACTTTGACCACAATGTGAAGGAGGGGACAGCCCAAGGGGGGCCGAGGGGCCAGTTAGAGGCTGTGCAGCGATCTAGGCAAAGGATGGGGATGAGGGTGGGTCTGGAGAGACCCTGGAATTGCTGGGGTGCTGGGGGCTGAGCCATGACCACAGGAGAGTGGCGATAATTCTGGGGCTGAGAAGATGAGTCAGAACGGAGATTTCGGGGGCAAGATTTAGTAAGAAAGTCAGTCGTTCCACAGGAGGGGAGTTGAGTACAAGATGGCCAGGGTGCCGGGACAGAACTGGGGCGTCACTGCGTGTGTGAGTGGGGGCCGACAGACAGGAGCGGCTGTGCTCATCTGCGTGTGACCCCTGCAGCCACCCAAGGAGGATGGGAGGTGCAGTGGATCCAGGAAAAGGGAGCGAGGTTGGCTCTCGCGTGCTGTGGGCTTGAAAGAGGCCTGGCGGGGAGGGACCTGGGGAGCCCTCGGATGGGCACGGGCACGCCACCTGTCCCGGCAGGGCCGGCTGCAGTCTCACGACCTGGGCAAGCATCTGGCCGGAGTGGAGGACCTGCTGCAGCTGCACGAGCTGGTGGAAGCGGACATCGCCGTGCAGGCTGAGAGGGTGCGGGCCGTCAGCGCCTCTGCCCTGCGCTTCTGTGACCCAGGCAAAGGTGAACCCTGGGGGAAGGAGCTGAGCAGGGAGCGGCTCAGGAAGGAGAGCAGCCAGACTGGGAAAACTGGGGACAGGAAGGATGAGGGGTGGATGGGAGGTGATGGAGCTAGGGAGGGAGGCCTAAGGGGCGGTGTGTGTAGAGATTCATAACCAGGGACGGGTAGGGGGCAGCGGGATGGCTGGGCGACAGCTCTCAACCCTCCGCCCCGACCTTTTCAGAGTACAAACCATGCGACCCCCAGCTGGTGTCAGAGCGGGTGGCCTCCCTAGAGCAGAGCTACGAGGCGCTGTGCGAGTTAGCAGCGGCCCGGCGGGCCCGGCTGGAGGAGTCCCGGCGCCTGTGGCGTTTCCTCTGGGAGGTGGGTGAGGCCGAGGCCTGGGTTCGGGAGCAGCAACACCTACTGGCCTCCGCAGAAACTGGCCGGGACCTGACTGGCGTCCTCCGCCTGCTCAACAAACACACGGCCCTGCGGGGCGAGATGAGTGGCCGGCGGGGGCCCTTGAAGCTGACGCTGGAACAGGGCCAGCAGTTAGTCGCGGAGGGCCATCCCGGGGCCAGCCAGGCCGCCGCCCGCATGGCCGAGCTGCAGGCCCAGTGGGAGCGGCTGGAGGCCCTGGCAGAGGAGCGTGCCCAGCGGCTTGCCCAGGCCGCCAGCCTCTACCAGTTCCAGGCCGACGCAAACGACATGGAGGCCTGGCTGGTGGACGCGCTGCGCCTGGTGTCCAGCCCCGAACTGGGGCACGACGAGTTCTCCACGCAGGCCCTGGCCCGGCAGCATCGGGCCCTGGAGGAGGAGATCCGGAGCCACCGGCCAGCCCTGGATGCCCTGAGGGAACAGGCCGCCGCCCTGCCCCCTGCGCTGAGCTGCACACCAGAGGTGCAGGGCAGGGTGCCTAGCCTGGAACGGCACTACGAGGAGCTGCAGGCCCGGGCAGGCGAGCGCGCGCGGGCCCTGGAAGCAGCCCTGGCGCTCTACACCATGCTCAGCGAGGCCGGGGCCTGCGGCCTGTGGGTGGAGGAGAAGGAGCAGTGGCTCAACGGGCTGGCCCTGCCTGAGCGCCTGGAGGACCTGGAGGTGGTGCAGCAGAGGTAGGCCCCCTGCGGACGTCCTCCAGGAGGGCCTGGCGAGTGGGACAGCCCACGTGTGGGCCGTGGGCCCTGCTGTAAACCGCCTGCTCTGGCTACGACCCTTTGAGTCTTTTTTTTTTTTTTACGATCTCATTTATTTGTTTGAGAGAGGGAGAGAGAGAGCACAAGCAGGGAGACCAGCAGAGGCAGAGGGAGAAGCAGGCTCCCTACTGAGCAGGGAGCCCGATGCGGGGCTCGATCCCAGGACCCCGGGATCATGACCTGAGCCGAAGGCAGAGGCTCAACCAACTGAGCCACCCAGGCGCCCCCGACCCTTTGAGTCTTAACAGTTGTCTGGGTTTTGCTTTTCATGAGAAATGTCAAACATACTCAAAAGGAGAAAACATACCACAAACTCCTATTTTCCCATCACCCGGATTCAGTAATTGTCAGTATCTTGCTCTATTTGATTATTTTTCATTTTAAAAGTTAGCAAATCCCCAGATTATCATTTCACTTCTGTGCTCCCCACGATGTGTCCTCTAAGAAATAGGAAGAAGTATTCTCAAATATAGTAAATTATGTGTGTGGGCTTAAAATAGCTAGGGCTTTGATGTTATAGACCTTTAGAGAGATACACTGATTAACCTTATCAAGTAGCTTTATTTACAGAATAATACATCTTAAAATGACTTAGAAAGGACGTTTTTCATATAGAACCACTATACCATTAATTATCGTATAGAATAAAATTAGCAATTCCTTGATATCATCGATTACTCATTCTATAGTCAAATTTCTTGGTGGTTTTAAAAATGTATTTAAAGATTTCTTTTTGGGCGCCTGGGTGGCTCAGTTGGTTAAGCGACTGCCTTCGGCTCAGGTCATGATCCCGGAGTCCCGGGATCGAGTCCCGCATCGGGCTCCCTGCTCGGCAGGGAGTCTGCTTCTCCCTCTGACCCT